ACTAATTATGTGCCGGTGTGGAAAAATAGCAAGTCATCGCCTATTTACCAGATGTTCTTAAGAGCTGCTTTTATGTATACATTATGAGCGACGAAGCCTCAGCCCACTCCGTCATGTGGATCATTCTGTTAGAACCCAAGGGGCAGGCGGTAATTGTTTATTGCTAAAGTGGCTTACACTAGGTGTGTTCGTTCATACCTTGGAGGACTCCGCTCATCTGCGTGATCTCCATGGAGTGTTCCCCAACTGGTGCTTGCCTCTGTGTTCACTCCTCGTGCGCATGGGACTGTAATCCTGATGTCATCTTCAACTTTGGGGAAGTCGGCAGGGCTCGCTGTTGGTGTGTCATCTTGCACCACCACACTACTTATACCCGGCGCAGTAGTATCTACCTTTAATCCACCACACTCCTCCCCCTCCAAAGGACTCGCGTCAGCTGCCTTCCGTCGGAGTCTTTCTGACCGCCGGGGATGTTCACTGTATGAGGGTATTTCCTCCTCCAATTCGTACCACTTCCTCAGCTCGCCGGCATTCAACCTCCGCGATTCACCTTGACGAGCGATTGTATACACTGGGCCTCGCCGGTCGACTACCTCGTACGGTCCTTTCCACTTCGCTAGGAGTTTCCTCTCCCCTGGGCAGCAAGTGGGATAGCGTTGATAGTCCCTGTACTTCACTTTCGAACCAATCTGAAACTCGATATTCATTCCACCTTTGCTGGTCTGGAACTTCGCCATCCTCCGCGCCTGAGTCGCCTGTAGGTTGCGGTTGGCGGTCTTCCGGTTATTCCGTGTCTCCTCAGGAGATATACGGCAAGTTGGTCACATTCCAATCTCTAGGTCCACAGGTAGACGAGGTTGTCGACCGTACATCAAATGGAATGGTGATTTCTTTGTGGAAGCCTGTTTGGTTGCTCGATGTGCCAGCAACAGTAGCGGCAACGTTTCCTCCCAGTCTCCACGTTTTGCTGCTATCCACTCCTTGATTGTTCTATTGTTACGTTCCGTCAGGCCATTTGTTTGCGGGTGGTATGGGGTAGTGCGCAATTTATTAATGTCAAGTTTCTCCAAACAGTTCCGGAATTCTTCACTCTCGAAGTATGGCCCTTGGTCTGTTAATATGGCCTTGGGGATTCCGTGAGCCGTTACCAAGTGATTCATGACAGCATGGGTAACGGTGCTAGCCCGTTGATCCGGGATTCCTGTCGCCTCAATCCATCGCGTGAAGTGCTCCGTCATCAATAAAATATATTGGTTGCCACGCCTGGCCAATGGAAACGGCCCCATCACGTCGACCGACCAAAGTTCACCAATTTCCGAGACCGGGATCGTCATCATTTGCTGCTGCATTCCTCGGCAATCCGTTTTCATGAGCTGACATTGTCTGCACGAAAGCACGCACTTCTCAACGTCCCTTTTCATCCCCGGCCAATACGCGCGTTGTTTCAGCAGATCGTAGGTCCTGAAACAACCTGTGTGCGCCATCTCGTGACAAGAAAGTACCAGATTCCGTCTTAGTTTCATTGGAATGACTAGCACCGAAGGGTTGCTACCTCCTGGTATCCACATTAAGATCCCTGCTTCGTTCACTTGCAGCTTTCCCAGGTCTTTTGCAAACGGTCCCAGCTGCTTACGTTGGTTTTTGTTGAAGTTTGTCTGACTAGCTAATCGCGCGGTGATAAACTTGCGCAGGAGTTTGTCCCTACGTTGGTCAGTTGCCAACCGTTCTGGATCCTGCTCGCACAGTATACCGTTAATACCGAAAGCTACGCTCGGCAGGTTATCATCATCTATCGTGCGTGACAAGAAATCCGCCGTCTGATTTTCCCTCCCCGGCACGTGTTTTATCGTGAAATCATACTCTTGTAGGCGCAATTCCCATCTCGCCAACTTTCCTCTGGGGTATTTGGCAGACTTAATCCACTCCAACGGTCTGTGGTCAGTTTCGACGTGAAATCGCTGACCCAGGAGATATGGCCGCCATTTATCTAACGCCCAGACAATTGCGAGACATTCTTTCTCTATGGTTGAGTATCTGCGTTCCGCAGGTGTCAAAGTTCGGCAGGCATACTCAATCGTCCCATGGTTTTGTTTCAACACCGCACCGATCCCGACATCGCTGGCGTCAGTGGCTACCGTGAACACCTCACCAGCAATGGGCAATTTCAGGGTCAACTCCTGCCTTCCCATTTCCTGTAGAATCTGATCAAAGGCTCGTTGAGCTTCTGCATTCCAAGTGAATTTCCTGTCTTGTTTCAACAGCTCGTACAAGGGTGAGGCCAAGGTGTTAAAATCCTTGACGAATTTGCTGTAGTACCCGGCGCGGCCCAGGAATGTACGGAGAGTGCGTTTCGAGGTGGGAACTGGGCTGCCTTGTATCGTCATTATCTTCTCAGGTAGCGGTTTCAGTTCGCCTTGTCCCACTTTATGGCCCAGTAAGGTGACACAGGTCTTTCCGATCTGGGATTTTGGTCCATTTATACGAAGTCCCGACTGCTGAATGCGTTCCAGAACTGCCGCGAGATGATGGATATGTTCCGCTTCTGATTGGCTATACACCACGATATCATCCCCGTACACAACCACGTTTTCCAATTCACTCAGCAATCGCAGCATTAGACGTCGGAAGGTAAACGGGGCTCCTGATAATCCAAAGGGCATCCTCTTAAACTGGTACTGTTTCTCACCAACGGTAAACGCCGTCTTCTCTCGATCTTCCTGTTTTATTGCCAGTTGCCAGTATCCTGATCTCAAGTCCAGGACCGTGAATATCCTCGACTGCTGCAGCCGATCAAAAATGTCAGCAACTGATGGAACTGGAACGAAGCGAGTCAAGGAAATTTCATTCAGTCTTCGGAAGTCGACACAGAATCGGTACTTCCCATTCGTCTTCTTCACTAAGACCACAGGAGTTGTACGGGCTATGTGCCTCCTCAATCACGCCCGCGTCCAGCATTTCCTGCACTTGCCTGTTCACCTCAGCCTCCAGATGGATTGGTATCCTTCGAAGTCCATGGGGCCGATACGGTTGGCGAGTTAGCGGGATGGTGTGCTCGATCCAATCGCAAAACCCATATTGGCTGCTGTCATCCGTAAACAAGGGTTGGTATTTGTTGATCAGCGACTGCAAAGATGGGCTCAAATGTAACACAGCAACGACCGACTGCGAAGATCTCATTTCTCCACGATTAATGAGTGGTAGTGACCCGCATTCCACTAGCAATTTCCCACGCTTTAGATCAATGACAGCTTTATTGAGCTCCAGGAAATCTGCTCCCAATATGGTTTGTTTCGCATCTGGTGACACGAGAAAGAAGTGTGTTCGCTTTCGTCCCCGATTCCCACGGTGTGTTCGGCTATCCCATCAATTCCCACTGAATGACCGCCAACCGCTCTTACGGTCGTGCAGCACGACTGAAGCTTTTCACCTCGCCGATGGTTGATTAGTGACACCGCGGCACCCGTATCGATCAGACACCTTTCCATCGTTCCGTCTACTTCCACCATTGCTTCAACCGCACTCCTGCTCAACGCCCCAAGTACACAATCCTCGATCCGAAAAGAAAAATAAGGTTGCACACGTTTATTCGTCACGCGAGTAACACCACGCCTCTGCGGATATCGTCTCTTCCAGTGCCTCAGTTTACCGCAGATGAAGCAACATCCCTTTGTGCGCACCCGACAACGCTGAACGCGAAGCCCATTGATGTCTTCCGTAAGCTGTTCCATCATCCGTTCCAATTTGTCCATCCGTTCCACATTCTCGTGAGGCTCTTCCTTCAGCGCAGCTAGTGGTGCGTGGCCCAGGTCTCGAGTAACTTGCGCCAACTCCTCCAATTGCATCTTCCGAGTAGCATTCGCAATCCGAACGCGCTCCGCGGTTGGCTGTGTGAGACCGGCGAAAAACTGATCCACCAGCAACTGCGTCTTTGACGGCCCATCCAACCCCAGCAAGGCGCGGTCCAACAAGCTCCTGAGGTGCACCGCAAACACGAGGGGATCCGTCCCAGCACCAAGCCGCGACGCCTTGAACCATCGCATCGCCTCCTGGCGGTCCGCCGGCGTGTCCAGGCCAGAGAGCAACGCTTCCTTCGCGGCGGTCCACTCCAACTTGACCGGACCTCTTCGCGCCGCCTTCGCCCTGCCCTTGAGGAGACTCCGCATGGCCGCCATCTTCGCCCGGTCCGTCTTCAGTCCTACCGCCTCTGCCACCTCCTCGAAACCCTCCAAAAACGTCCTCACATCCCCATCTTCAAATGGTTCCGGTCAGGGAATCTTCAT